CCCTTTTGTTCTTTGAAGTATAGAATTTCCATTCTTCTATCTGAAAGTTTGTTGGTTCTTTCTTCTGCCAGTCCAATTCTTCACCAACACCTTCTTGGGATTTTTTTTTTTTTTTTTTTTTTTTTTTTTTTTTGGTTTTTCGAGACAGGGTTTCTCTGTGTAGCTTTGTGCTTCTCCTGGAACTCACGTGGTAGCCCAGGCTGGCCTTGAACTCACAGAGATCCGCCTGGCTCTGTCTCCCGAGTGTTGGGATTAAAGGCGTGCGCCACCACCGCCCGGCTGGGATTTTTTTTTTTATTCGCCCCAGAGTTTCTATTTCCTTTGTAAACACACACTGTAAGGGCAGTCTTTGTTAAATCTGACAAGCAGGCCTTCTTTCTGCACAGCTCCTCTTCCCCCTTTCCACTCCTCACTGGTTGGGTAACCTTGGCTTTGCATCTCATGCATAGGCATCAGGTGTTTACACACAGACAAAAATGCAGAAGTATAAAGTAGCATTTAAGAAATTATTAAAAAATGAAATAATGGGGGCTGGACAGATGGCTCAGTGGTTAAGAGCACCAGCTGCTCGTCCAGAGGATCTGGGTTCAATTCCTAGCACCCACATAACAGCTCACTGCTGTCTGTAACTCCAGTTCTAGGGCATCTGACACCCTCACCCAGGCATACATGCAGGCAAAACACCAATGCACATAAAACAAAAAAATGTAAAAATGCAATAATGTAAAACAGATAAATATTTTGGAGCTTACCATTCAAGTCATTCATTTAAAATTGAAGAAGCAGAGGCTGGCAAGGTGGCTCAATGGGTCAAGACACTTGTCAATCCTGGCAACCCGAGACTGATCCGTGTTGCCCACATAGTGGGAGGGGAGGACTGACTCCCGCCAGTTGTCTTCTGACATCTACACCTTCGAGCCGCACACATACATATGTGTATATACACACATGTACTAAATAAATCGAGAATTATAAATACAAGTTAAAAACCGAAGAAGCAGAAGTCTGGGCAGTTTCTCTCTTTCACTTTTACAAGGCTGCGTCACTTCCCGATGGAATAGAATGGGGTTTTGCCCATGTTTACCACCAAGCCGGGTCACCTCTGGTGAGACACTGGGTGGAGTCATTTTGAGGTTTGCTCTGACCTCAGGAAGGCTGCTCTCGGCTGCTTTTCCTTCCTTTCTTTTTGTTTTTTTTCTTTTCTGGTGATGAGGTGACCTGTGGGTTAGCTCGTTGCTCTATTCCAGATACCTTTGAGTTTCCACAAAATCTCCACTGTTTTCTGGAGCAATCTTGGGCTTCTTCCACCGTGTGGAGACAGTTTCAGTGATCTGTGCTCTTTGGGCCACTTTCATCCCAGGTGAAACCCTAAGACTGGCAGGCAGGGAAAGCGGCCCATTTCTCTCAGGGTGGCACCTCTTCATGAGGAAGTTGCCGAGTGTGGGCAGGCCCTTTGTGTGGTTTTGGCCTCTCTCTGTCTCTGTCTGTCTGTCTGTCTCTCCCTCTCTCTCTGTGCATGTGTCTCTGAGTCTCTGTCTCTCTCCCCTCTCTCTGTGTGTCTCTGTGTCTCTGTTTCTCTCTGTGTGTCTCTGTCTCTCTGTATCTCCCTCCCTCTCTCTCTGTATCTCTGTCTCTCTCTGTCTCTCCCTCCCTCTCTCTCTGTGTCTCTGTGTCTGTGTCTCTCTCCTTGCTTGGCTTGCTTTCCGGCTTGGCTTCCTCCTCTTGCATAGAACCTGTGGCCCAGAAATAAGCAGGACAAACAGCAATCAAGGCCCTGGGATTCTGGACCTAATGGCTGGTGGACAGAGCTGCCCCTGTTTGCAGAAGGGCTGGGTGGAGAAAGGATGGCAGCCTCTGACTTCCTGGCTGCATTCACCAGGGTTTTAGCCTCTGCAACCCAGAGCTCAGGGAATGCAGGGATGAGGTGGGGCAGGCATTGGTGGCCTTTCTTGATGGAACACTATGAGTCACAGGGAGTAAGAACCCTGTTTTCTTGGCTGTATCATCTCTGTGTCAGGGTGTGGGGGAGAAGATGGCTTGTGACTTAGCTTTCCTTTTTTGTTTTGAGAGAGAGAGAAAGAAAGAGTTAGAGTTAGTTAGTTAGTTAGTTAGTTAGTTAGTTAGTTAGTTAGTAACAGTTTCATCAGGAAGCAGACCTGTGGTATATATCACACTGCTGTTGGAAAGTCTGAGAATCTTTTCATTTACTTACTGATTTGTAAATTTTCCTTGGAATGGAGAAATACCTATTTTCCAAAATGACCAAATGATTTTTTTCCTTTATGAAAGTTGGTTTGTCTTTTTGTTTTAAAATATGGAATGCTTCATGAATTTGCATGTCATCCTTGCGCAGGGGCCACACTAATCTTCTCTGTATCGTTCCAAATTTAGTAAGTGTGCTGCCAAAGTGAGCACGTCTTCGTTTTCTTAAATTGTAAGAGTTCTTTTCACATTCTGGATACAAGTCCTTCGTCACATACGTTTTTACATAAACGTTTATTTTAAAGAGAGAGTGTGAGGGGCGTGTGTGTGTGTGTGTGTGTGTGTGTGTGTGTGTGTGATGACCTCAGAGGCCGGAAGAGGGCATCAGATCTCCAGGAGCTGGAGTGACAGATGGTTGTGAGCTGCCGACATGGATTCTGGGAAGCAAACTCAGGTCCTCTGCAAGAGCAGCATTTGCTTTTAATGAACCAGCCATGTCCCCATCCTCCTTTGTCACATACAGGATTTGCAAATACTTTGCTTCAGGTTTTTTTGTTTTTTTGTTTTTTGCCTTCTTGGCTATTTACTTATTCTACTTGCATTTTTTCTTTCCTCCTCCTCCTCCTCATCTTTGTCCTCCTCCTCCTCCTCTTCTTCTTCCTTGGTTTTTAGGGACAGGGCTTCTCTGTGTAGCCCTGGCCATCCTGGAACTCACTTCATAGACCAGACTGGCCTTGAACTCAGAAATCCGCCTGCCTCTGCCTCCTAAGAGCTGGGATTGAAGGCGTGCGCCACCACCGCCGCCGCCACCACCACCCTGCTCCTATGTTTCTTTATAAACAACTGAGACAAGAGACTGCTGAAATGAATATTGTTCTCAGTGTCTTCCCTCCTTAAACTGGGTTACAGGAAAAGCTACCATCGGTGGAGAGGTGCCAGTGAGGAGTTCTGTGGTTACCGGAGGCTGGGCCACAACTAAAAGCATGTTTGGGGCTAGAGATGTAACTCAGTGTGAGAGCACTCACCTAGTACGCAAGAGGCCTGGGGTTCTACCACCACCACCACCACCACCACTACCACAAACAAAAACTGCCCGTGTAACAGTGTAACACAATCTATGAGATTAACTTGTATCCAGGCACTTCTATGCCACAGTGAAGAGCAGACTGGAAAGCCCTGGCCCAAAGAGGAGCTGTCTTAGAGGAAAAGATTAATTTCACAGTTCTGGTTAACTTATCTCACCATCACATCTGCCTATGCAGACGAATAAATCATATGCGAGCTTTTGTTTTCTCCTCTGAGGCAAGCGCTCATGTATCCCAGGCTCACCTCCAACTAGTCATGCCGCAGAACTCCTTGAACTCCTCACTGTCCTGCCTCTACCCGCCAAGTGCTGGGGTTATAGGTGTGGCTGACCTACCTACCCAGTTTATGCAATGTCAGGGATCAAACCCAGAGTAAGCCCTCTAACATGCCAGCTACACCCCAGCCTCCTGTGAAGGCTTTGGCTTAATCCTTTCTATAAATTACAGTATTGCTACAGACAAGGTGGGCCTAAGCTGAGACTTTTTCCCCTTTGGGTCCAAAAATGTAAGGAAAACCATTCTTTTACTGATTCAGGTCTTCCATTCGGGGTTAGAGCAACGGACACGGGGCATGAGGCCCGGGTAACAGCTGTGAGCTGAAAGTCTGAGAAGCAGGGTGCGGTTGGGAGAGGGAGCTGTGGAGAGGAGAGGCCCTAGGGGCCCTGACTCCGTCCCTGTATTTGGGGACAGGGTCTACCATGGCCCTCCCAGGCCCTACTCTAGCTATGAACAAATAGACTGGATCCGTACCAGCAGCTGCTCGGAGGAAAACCCCTCAAAGGTGTCAGTATGAGGCTAGCCCCAGGCACGGTGATTTATTTAGTTAGTTATTTCTGAGAAAAGATCTCTTTGTGTAGCCCAGGCTGGCCTCAAATTTGGGATCCTCTTGCTTCTGCTTCCTGAGTTCTGGGATTGCAGGCATGGGCTGCTACATCTGCCCGCCCTCTTATCTTGCAAGCATTGAGCAGGAATCGCCAGCCTGGGCTACCCATACTTCCTATAAGAGTGAAGTAGGTTGGGAACCTGTGGTATAATAGGAATAAACCCATCCTTTCTCCACATGCCCCCTCCCCCCTCCAATTCCCTCTACACTGACTAGGTCACAAATAGAGATAGATTCTTGTCTTTTTTGGAGCTCTGGAGACATGCATCAGGTACCAACACAGCCTTTACACGTGAGAAAACAGCCAGCAACAGGGAAGGACGGCAGTGCTGCCCAAGACCCCTGGCACTTGTCAGGGCCTCTTGCCCAGCTTGCCTGATTTCTGTCGCCATGCCACCTTGGACTCTGTCTACCCACGGGGAGGGATGAACAAAGTCTGTTTATCCGGAGGCTTGGCAGCAGGGGCAGGTGAAACAGCCTGAGAACAAAGGTGCATTCTGACATCCCAGAGTCAGTTGTCAGAGGAACACAGCCGCAGGGTGACCAAGTAGCTGATAAACAGGGAAGCGCACTCAAGCCAGAGCCAGGGGCAAGCCAGGGGCAGTCCCCAGTCTTCCTCGGTTCGTTTCCTGGCATGCTTTCTGAAGGCGGACTGAAAATCAAGTCAGCCGGGGACTGGCTGGCACGCTGTCTTTGGAACCGTGAGGGCACATCTGAGTGCCGAGGGGTTTAGTTAATATTCAAGCCATCTTGACAGCCAAGCTGCCAATCCGATGCCATGGGGCCCATTGTTTTAGTCTAATGACTCAAGAGAGGGCACAGTGTCTCACCTTGGCCACCAGCAGTATCCCAGGGTAAACCATCCTGGCAGGAACGAAGATAATCTGAAGGAACATCTGTGTCCTCCTCTTTGTCCAGCAGACTACTGAAACAATGGACTTGAAGAAATTGTAATTTTCCTAGGAGTTCCTGGGAGAAGGAAAAGGCTGAGATGCCGGTGCCAGCCAGAGGGCCTATTTTCTTCTGGAAATAAATAAGTTTCCCTTTGCAGGAGGGACTGGCGTCCAGACAGTGAAGATGGGCAGGACCACACCTCGACCAGGACTCCTTAGCTGAGCTGAGCAGAGCTCTTGCCCTCCATTTAAACCTGAGCCTCATGTTAGGACCCCGGTGGTGGACTTTTGAGCTGTCATAGGACTTCTGGTTCCTCTTTCTAATGTGGCTGCACTGAATAATCTCCTTTTCCTGCTTTTCATCAATACTGGTTTATATACTTGCTTATTGGGATGAGCAGCTGAGCACAGCTCGTTAGGACTGCTGGGGCCCAGGCTGACCTGTACAACTCTAGTAACCAGGGTAGAATGAAGCAAACTGCCCGTTCCTCCAGGTCTGTCCCTTGGCCAGGCCCACATAGACCCCAGCGGAAATAGTCTGTATTAAGTTCTGCTGTTGGAGTGGCCCTTAGTCAGTGTCCTTATTCCCTTCCCATCCTCAGAAACTCCCTATGAGTTTGGAATGGGGCCCCACGTTCCTCTGAGAACTTGGCCCACCTTGGGGCTATGAGTGAAACCAGTGTCTTGATCCTAGGAAGGGTGACACAAAACTGGTGCCTCTCAGGGCACAGGCCGTTTGCTGCAGGTTCTATCTGAGGGAATGGTCACACCCTCAGCTACCTCATCCCCAGACTTCCAGGGATATAGCCAGCTGCAGAAGAGGACAGATGCGGCTAGGGTGGGACAGCAGCCCCTTCTTGGGCTACTGAAGGGCCTTTTGAGCAGGTTGGCCCTCAGGACCCAGGCCTCCTTCCAGGTCTCTAAAGCACAAAGCCTAGGATAATCCAGGTCTGGTTCACATGAAGCTTTCTAGGTGTTTCCGTTTTGTGGACTAGGGTCAAGGATACCTAATGGTGTTCTGTGAGGAAAGAAGACATGCAAGAGCCAGCTTATGCCCAGGCCCTGCCCTTGCCTACCCTCCCTGCTCCTTCAGCCTCAGGGCAGGAGGCATCTGAGTTTACTCAGGTATAGGCACTGAAGGACTAAATCATGACCCTAGAGATAAAGGTATGACCACCATGGTAGGTCTCAGTGAAAATCACCCATCATCACACGATTGTTTAGGGTGCTCAGGGTCCCTCCTTCCCCAACAGAAGCTCCTTATACCAAGTCCCACACATCCCTGCGCCTCTCTGTTCCTGCACTAATACCACCCTGTGGGTAACTTATCTACTAGATAGGATAGACACCTTTCACAGGGTGATCAGAGACCCTTCTAGCCCAGAGTCCAGAGACAGAAAACATTCACCTTGTATTTTTACAGTCTTTTCCTTAAAGTGAAAAATAATTAAATAATTAAGGTGAAAAGCTGGAGCTACAGAATATTAAGGACAGTATTAGACATAACTGATTAAATGAAATAAATAAGTATGAGCCCGTGCATACATGAATAAACACACACAGAAATAAATGGCTGTGGAGGGGAGCCTTTATTTCTAGAATCATCTCAAATCGCCACTAGGCAAAGACTACAGTATTAGTCATCTCAGTCAAGGTCTGGAGATCTGTGCTAAACTAAGTGGGTAAAAATTTGTATTATCTCCAAGCATCTCCCTTCAAATGTATATTAACTCTGAAAGAGAAAAATACTATTAATAATAGTGGAAAAATCCAGCAGACACCAACTTAACCAAATGATTGATGTTCATATCACTGGTAATTCGGACAGTGTCAGCATGTGCCTGGTTATATACCTGGTTTGAGGCTGGGAAAATATATCACTTCTGTTGTATTCTTACCCCCAAACCACATAGTGCAATCTGATTGTGAGAAAAATTACAAAAACCCAAGTTGAGGGGCCACTCATTAAAACAACACCTAAAACACATCATGGTCACAAAAGATCAGGAAAGGCAGAAAAATTATCTCACACTGGAGACTGAGACATGGCAGCTAAGTGTAATGGTGGACTGGATCAGAACACAGTACACTAGTGGTACTTTGACCAGTGTTAATTTCCTGATTTTGATAAATGCATTATGGGTAATTTAAATGGAAAACAGAAGGTCTGGGTGTGGTGGCACATGTCTGCAATCCCAGCATGGGGGGGCCAGAGTCAAGAAGAGCCCAACCTGGATGATACAGTGAGTTCCAGGCCAGGCTGAGCTATAGAGTGATACCTTGTCTGAGAAAAACAATAAATAAACTGCGAAGGCCAGAGGAAGCTAGCTGAAGGGTCTATGTAAATGTTCTATCCTATTTTAATAACTTTTCTTTGAATCAGAAGTTATTTCAAAATAAGGATAAGAAATTTGATTCTTAGTAACTCCACAGGCTGAATGGCTGGTACCTCACACACAGCCCCTAAGGGAGGAAATCACCTTATCTGTGGATGCACCCAGAGATAGGCGTACCCATGGGAGTCACAGTCCAGACATGCGATTCCTATCTCCTGGTGTCTATGGAAGACATTTCTCTGGACTCTTGGCTGACCCTGTCCTTCTGTGGAGGGGTCCAGGGACAGTTTGGATGGCCCTTTCTCTTCTGGAGGATATCAGGGTGCTGGAGTACAAGGCAGAGGCACATTCTGAGGACAGTCCTTCTACCCTTGCCAGCCAGGATGAAGGGACCTGTCAGAGGCCCTGGGCTCAGCCTGTAAGGATGAGGTCATCTTGTTCACTGTCACTGTCACTAAGTCTGCATGGGCTCTGGCACATGGCTTGTTCTCAGAGGTCTGGCCCTGCATCTTTGGGGACAGGGGTTCAGCCATCACCTTTTCTATCTGCCACAACCCAAGCCTTGGAGAAAGCTTCCCAAATGCCCACAATGCCTAGACAGAGGTGCAGGCAAGAGGGTGACCAGGGTCTGTCTTAGTGCTATTCACTACTCACCTGTGATGCCATTTTGCTGGTGCCACAAGTGATATAGCCCATCTACAGGAGGCCATCTCTCTGTAGGTGGACACTGTTCATCTACTCTTTAAGAAATTGTATAAAGAGGGCCGGAGAGATAGCTTAGTGTGAAAGAACACTGGCTATGTAAGCATGAGGATCTGATTGAAGACTCCAGCACCCATGTTTTTAAAAACGCTGGGAATGGCTGTGTGTGCCCGGAAACCCATTAAGCAACAATAACCCACAATCATCTCGTATCCCACCCCCCTCTTTCTTTCTGCCTCCTCCCATCTCTGACTCTCTCATGTTTTGAGACAGTCTTTGCATTCCAGGCTGACCTCGATCCTCCTACCTCACCCCCCTCAGTGCTGTTCCAGGCCTGTGCGATCACGTTCATCTGTGCTTTACCTAAGTCTTGTGTCTGTGTGACCAGCCCGTTTCATTAAGCATGGTGTTGTCCCCAGTCATTTATAGAGCCTGTGCCCACAACTTGCTTTCTCTTCAAGTGAGATCAAACTCTGTTGTTCATATATACAACATTTTATGTATCCATTCAAGCTATTGATGGACATCAGGGTGCATTCATCTTTTGGCTTCTCAAGAACAATGTTGCTATGAACATGGATGTGTAGGTAATTTGTAATATTTATTCATTGTGAATGTGCACACGGGAGAGCACAGGTGTCTGAGCTGGAGTTACAGGCAGTTGTAAGCCCCTGACTCGGATGCTGGCATCTGAACGGTGGTCCTCTGCAAGAGCAGTATGTGTTCTTACACTGAGCCATCTCCCAGCCTAACAAGTAACTCTTTGAGACCCTGTTTCAATTCTGTTAGTGTTTACTGTTTGGGTGGGAGCTCCACCTCAATCCCTGGCACCCTGGCATCCATATACCCAAAGAGTCTGGAATGTTCTGGTGGACTACCCATCTCAACTCCCCTCCCCTATCTCTTTCCCTAAACCCTCCAAACACAGCTCCTCCCCCAGAGAGGCTCAAGACCACTTCCACAGGGTATTTAAGCTGCATCCCAGAAAACAGACATGTGGTTTTCCGGTCTCTTGTCCCCATCTCCTCTCTGAAGGGCCAGAGAATCACCCGGGAATACTTTACCCATTAAACCTGCACTTTTTCTAATTCGGTCTGATTAGGTCTGATTTGGATTGCTCAGTTGGCGGAGAGGCCTATTGGGGTGCAAAAACTTATCATTTACCTAGAAGTGCAAAGGGTTGATTGTATGGGAATATTATTATTATTATTATTATTATTATTATTATTATTATTATTATTATTATTATTTGACACAGGGTCTCAGGTATCACAGGCTGCTCTGGGACTCATTGTGTAACCAAGGATGACTTTGGGTTTCGTTTCCATTTCCTACGTGCTGGGATTACAGGCATGCACCACACCCAGTTTATTCTATTTTTGTTTTTTTTGAAGGACACTAATACTCTTCTCATAGCAACTGTGTCATTATACCTTCTGCCACGGTTCGGGTTTGGTTTTGTTTGGTGACAGGGTTTCGTGCTGTGTCCCACATCGGCTTGGAACTCATAGCAATCCTTCTGCCTCGGCTGCTTGGGTGCTGGGATAGAGGCTGGATCTTAAATGTTTCTCTAAAGATATTTGTTGAAGGCTTGGCTCCCAGCCTGAAGCTGCTGTGGGTTGGTGGGCTTTTGAAGGGGTGAGGCCCACTGGGAGGAAGCTAGGTCTTTGGAAGGGGACTTGGGGACCCTGGTGTCTTCTCGACGAGGAAAGTTGCTTCCCTCTAGCACACACTCTCCACCGGGATGTGCTGCCTTACCACAGGCTCCAAAAGTAACAGGGCCAATTGATCCTAGACTTGAACCTTGTCTCTTTATAAACCCCTGTGTTGGGTATTTGTTGCAGAAACTGTAACTGAGTGACATTCTCACCAGAAACACATGGGCATTCCATCCTCCCCACATTCTCCACAATACTTTGTTTCTATTGTGGTTAGCTCTCACCCAGACTCTGAGCTCCAGCGCCCTCTGGAGAGACCCACCCCACACTACTCACCCTGCTTCTTGCCTCCTTTCCTTCTCTTTCCAGCCACCAGTGCCCTTTGCCTTTCCCACCATCCCCCCAAAAAAAAAAAAAAAAAGCAAGCAAGAGAGAGAGGCTGCAAAGCAAAGCAGGTCACAGTGTGGGTATGTGAGGTAGGAATCGCGAGGTGTGCCCAGAGGCCCCTGGGGACAGCATGGTGGGGCACCTATGAACTCAGGAGCTGGTAGTTCTCCACCCCACCCCCACCACCACCATATCCTCAGGCAAACAAAACCATCCAGGAGGAGGACAGGAGCCAGGTTGGACCAGTAGTCTGTGAAGGTTGCAGCTAGTGACTCCAACCTCTAACTTAGATGCAGGGAATAATCCCAGAACTGAAGGATGAGCTGGCTCTCAGTCTTAGATACCCTAGGGCCAGGCACAGCGGGAGAGGCATGGCAGGCCACATGAGGACCAAAGATAGGCAGGGTGCTAATGTGAGAGACCCAGAGGGGGCCACAGGCTCATCCACTCTCCATGAGCCCTGCATCCTCCACAGCCGCCACTCTTGACTGAGTACTTCTCTTGCAGAAGTGACAGTGCACAGTTTTCTCCCAATCTTGCTTTCCATAGCAGCTAGATTAGACTCTAAGAACACAGGGTTGGGAGAGTTGGTATATATCTATAAGTCTCTGTATCTAGGAGGCAGAGGCAAGAGGATCACTGTGAGTTCCAAGCCAGCCTGGGTAATGCAGTGAGTTACAGACTAGACAAGCCTATATCCTGTGACATTGTCTCAAAAGAAGAAAATAAAAGCACAAATCTTACTTAGGCTTGCTATTTTTACGGTCCTCAAACTATAGTCAGCTCTTCAGAATACCCACAAGCTGGCCCTAGAGGCAGCTCTAGCCTCTTATCTTCCTCTGAGCTCCACTTACCCAATCTACAGGGCTCCCATCCCCAGAACTGGCCACTTCTTTGCTGAACAGAACCATCCCTTATCTCCAGATTTGCCTCACATTTACGTCTCCTTCCTGCAGTATCTCCAGATCTAGTTATTCCACGAGGAGAAGGGAGTTTATTTACCCAACGTCACACATGAAACAAGCCAAGATTTGAATTTTGGCTTCTGAAGTCCAACACTAAGTAGGGTTGAAGTGAATTTTCTCAACAACACAGCTGGTATGGCCCACAGGCATCTGAGCTCTGCAGGTGGGACCCACACCCTAGCTGTCTACACCCCAGGGCCAGACACATTTTTTTGATGACTGCTACATGGTGCTGAGGGAAAGAGATAAAGAAGCAGGCGAGGCTCCTGTTAGTTGTCCACCCCCCATCCCCTTGGGAGGAACATAGTTTTCTTGTTGTTGTTGTTTTTAACCCCCTTGGGAGAAAGAGGGAACAGAGGCAGCATTGGAAGGTGGGAAAGCGGGACATCCTACCAGCCTGATCAATAGCAGGAAGTCGGTTCTTAGGGATGCTCTTTTCAGAAAGACTGTGTGTCTTGACCTAATAATTTCACCTGGCCCTTAGCAAATGTGCAGCAGGAAACACAGAGAGGGAGTAGATCCACATCCAGATTCTGTGACTTAGGGAACCCCTTCCCAGACTACTTAGAGGTAGGCGGTCCCCGCTGGAGCTCCTGCCCACCAGCTGACACTTCCCACAGGAGTATCCAAATGCCAGGTTCTACTTTTGGCTCCTTGCATCTAGCCAATGTCAAGGGACAGCTGCCTCCTTTTGGAGAAATTGGGGCCTCCACACAGAGGCCCTTCTCTGTCTCAAGATCCTTCGTGTGTCATACTTGAACTCAACAGACCACCACATCCCTTTTCTCCTCGGTGGCAAGGAAACATCTGACTGTATACCAAGACAGTATGGGGCTTGGCCTGCCCAGGGAAGCACTGAGGCTCTTGGGAAACTCTAAGTGTTGTGAAACACGGAAAGGAAAAGGCAGTTGATGACAACACTCTTTTCCATCCCCTCCGTGGCACACAGAAATTCATCAGCTCTGAGCCTGTGCTGAGAACGCACTCAAAACCCCATTCTGTGCCTGGCACGTTTGAGACGGAGTGTGACATTGACCCAGGCACTGCCAGGGACTGTTGGGGGCACCGATGCGGTGGAGTCTCCATTCCCAGTGACTATCTCCAGCAAGGCGCTGTCACCTACCTCGCTCACGATAGTGGACAGGAAGACATCCTTGTCGTACTCCCAGCCATCCAGGCAGCTTTCCTGCTCCAGCTGCTCCAGGTCCACGTCCAGTCCAGGCTCCAGCCCCAGCGCAGAGAAGTTGGCGATGGCGGCCAGTCGGTAGCGGCGGCATTTCTGGGGCACCTGTCGCCCGTCCTTCGTCTCCAACGGGATACTGTGGTTGCGCCACGCGCTGCTCAGGTTCACGGTGTCAGGCACAAGGCAACGGTGCTCCGGGGTCCCCGCCAGGAACACGACTGACATACCATTGAAGCCATTGGGGATGATGCTGGCGCTGAGTAGGAAGAAGATGAGGCGCTGGAAGGGTCCCCACTCGCCCAGGAAGGCGGTCACCTCGTCGTAGTCCCGCATGCTTCCTGCCTCTCCTTCACAACTTGCACAAGGGGGTTAATAGGAGAATCTGGCGTGCAAATGCGCTGCGGGTGCCGCAAAGCTCCTAGGGGCTGGTGCGGAGCTCAGGGAAGCCCAGTCCTCGGAACCACACCCCCAGTGCGAGCGAGGCACCTGGAGACTAGTGCGCTCCACCGATCGGGGCGGTGCTCCCGGGTCGGCTCCGCCTCCTGCTCTTTTCCCTCCGCACCCAGAGGCCTTCCAACTGGGCCTCCCGCTTGGGATCCGCTGCTGTGTAATGCGCGTGCAGCGAGCCCGGAGCTCCGGATTTCTCAGCCACACGTGGGAGGGTGAGCGACAGGGAGGAGCTGCGTCCGGAGAGCAAGGTCTCTAAGGGGTTGACCCTGGCTGGCTTCAATGTCCGCGTCCTGCCAGGCCTAGCCCGGGGCAGGAGTCCGTTGTTCCACTCTCCCAGTCTGGAGTCTGAGCTCAGGCGGGCGGACCCGACAGTTAATTCAAGTCAGCGTTCGCAAGAGACCTCTGTGGGTGACACACGACAGCGTGGGAGCTCACTTATGCGCCTCAGTACGGCTCTAGACCGTCACCAGACAGCGGGGGGCGGAGAAGCGTCATTGGAACAGCAGGATCCTCACCTTGAAAAGCGGCAACAGTGGCTCGGGAGCCTGCAAGAGATGTGCGAGGTCATGCTGAGTCAGAGATGCGCCCTGAACTAAAAAAGGTCGGGTCACAGGCCTCTGAGTTGTCCCGAGTCCTCTTGAAGATTCCCTGGGGCCTCTATAGGAGACACCAGAAGGACGTAGCTGGCCCACTGCGGAAGCATAGCAATGGAGTCACATTTTCACCACGTCTGGGCTCTGATGTTTGTCCTTTTGCACCCTTCAGGCGCCCAGGGCTCTTTATTGCGGCAAGGCGCCAAAGCCTTCTTGGACAGAAAGGCCTTCTATTTGCAGAAAGGCCCATTCCCTGTCCAGGAACCGAGGGAGGGAGGAACAGAGAGAGGACAAACTAGTGAGATTTGGCTCTCAGATCTGGCAAAGGAGGGCCGAGACTGCCTTTTTCTCTCTGCTCAGTATCCGCAACTAAGGCCCTGGGAACACCGTGTCCTAGCCTACACTGGAGCCTGTGTCCTGGGATCCACGGGGCTGGTGATAGCGGCAGGCTGAGGAGCCCATCTCTTTGCACAGACCGGCTTGCTTCTCCAGACCCTCTGCGGGAAACTCCGGGGGACTTCTGTTGGTTCTTCTTCTTTGGTTTTGGTAGCCTCCTCAAGTCTGAGCCCAAGGATTCGGCTGGCTTCCCACCACTTACAACCTCAGTTTCCTTTCCTGTCCTTTAAGACCATGTGCCTAATGTGCCAGGACAACTCTGGTTTATGCCTTTTATTTTTATTTATTTGTTTGTTTGTTTGAGACAGGATCTCTGTATGTAGCCATGGCTGTCCTAGAACTCCCTAGGTAGAACCAGACTGGCCTCAACTCACAGAGATCTGCCTGCCTCTGCCTCCCGAGTGCTGGGATTAAAGGCGTGTGACTCTATGCCTGGCTTGGTTTGTGCTTTTTAACCCAGCGAAATTACTCATAGGTTTTCTGTACTTTTGAAATATCTTTTGAGTGGAATGTTATTGTTAGAATCTTACTTAGGTTTATTCTTTTACCTCAAACTACTAAAAAACACAAGCAGAGACAAGCACTTATCTGAAGCATTATTTTTGAGTAATGATCCCCAAGAACAAAAGCAAAGGACTGAGGAAAATAAGCAATGAAGAAAATGAAGTCCCCACAAGACCCTGAAGTTGAGCTGATCCTTGTCAGTGTGCAGGGTCAGTGCCCAGCTGTGGAGAGGAGCCCTCTTGAAGCCTGAGGTTGATGAATTAGCAGGCCTGTCCTGTCTCAAAGTTTTGATACTATGGTCAAGCACGGTAGTATAGACCTATAGTCCTAGCACTGGGTAGGCTAGAGCAGGAAGATTGTGAGTTCCAGGCCAACCTGAGCTGTGGTAAGATGCCGTGTCAAAAAACGTTTTTGACATTATTTTTATTTTATAACATGAAATATATCATTAAAAATTAATACTAATATTAATCAACTCCATATTAAATATTAGTTGATTGATACTAAAATAGTAATACTATTAAAACGTTATTAACATGTACCCCCATGCCTGACTGATGCAATGCTGGGCATCACACGTTGGCTAGGGTTTTGTGGGTGCTGGGCGAGCACTCTACCAACTGAGTAGACACAGATCTTGCTAAGATGTCCAGGCAGTTCTTAAACTCCTCTGGGCCTGAGGGATCTTCCCACTCCAGCCTTGCACTGAACTCAAATCGTTGCTTACTGCATTTCTTAGTGTTCCTTATGTATTTCACCAGCAGGCAGCAAGTGCCTCGCCCTTTTCAGTAGTCTCAGTTTTATTATCACCCTCATTGCTACCGGAGAATGGAGTTTGGTCCCTCCGAGGGAAGAAGCAGGCACTATATTGTAGTTCCGCCCCCACCAGGCCACTCCTCCGCACTTCCAGGCTGGATATGAGAGCCCGAACAGGTGTCAATCAACTCAGCTGTTTGCCAGTTGTTGACAGGGTCTGTAAATCAGCCTGTTTTCCCTCTATACAAAATGATCAAAACTGAGTATAGTTTAGTGTGTTAGAAGGATTCCCTTCACCATTCTTTAGGGTCACCCCTAAGATGTGTGGCAGTGACTTTTGGCTAGTATCAACACAGGAAGCTAACACGTGGGAGTCAGGGCTGAGTATTTTGCCCCCATCAGCTGGTTGCAGAGAGCTACCTCATGAGGCTACAGGTTTGAGCTGAGGGAGAAATGCTGGTATGGCTGAGGTAGTGTCTGACCCACCCGTGGCTGACATACATGCACATACCCTTTTGACCTGCTGAGAAGTGACCCGGAACCTACCACTTCTGTTCTATGATGAAGTGCTGATCAGCCTGCTAATACAACTTAGAATCTGACAATGTCCAGCTCCTATCTCAACTACACACACCTTCGAGAGCACATTGCCTGGTTCCCAGTGCTCATTGGTGCATCAAGGTGCACTTGGATGGAATAATTTCTCTGGTCTGTTGGCAGTGCCCTATCTGGTGACTAGATAATTTTTGATATTTTCCCAGGAAAACCACATGATATCTTCTCACCAGGATGGACTGACCTTTCTGAAGCAGTGAGTCAAAAATAAATCCTTCCCTCTTTATTATATCAGGCGTTCTGTTAGAGTGATGGGATTGCTAAAACAAAACTCCATGACCTTAAAGCTCTTCCTCCCATGATCGACCTGATGCAACTGAATTCCAACATGATTGTTCTTTTGGAGATCAGGTATTCAATTAGCCATTGTTAATAAAGGACACTGAGAAGAATGGCTTTCATGTTGGTATTAATTCTACCTAACATGGCTTTACTTCTGATTTAATAAATTGGCCAGAAAGGTTGGAATAAGTTTTGGGGTTTCATTTGGTCTTCAAACTAATATTCTTGAGACCAAGGGATCTGTCATAGAAAAGGTTTCCTGAGCAATGTATTATAGACCTTTTCTGCTTTCATATCTGTTGCTGTGCTACAATACTCCAACAAAAAGCAGCTTAGGAGAGAAAGGCATTTATTTCAGCTTACAGGTTCAGGTTAAAGTCTCTCATTGTGGAGAAGTCAAGGCAAAAACTTCAAACAACTAATCATAGCCACAGTCAAGACCAGAGAGAAATGAATGCATGCATACTCACTTGGGCTTAGCTCAATTTTCCCACTCTTCTGTTTGTATACTGTGAAGATGTGTCACTCTGAATGGTTTAATAAAAAGCTGAACAGCTGATAGCTAGGCAGGATATGGGGGCAGAGAGGACACTGGGAAGAAGGGCAGAAATGCAGAGCAAGCAGAATGGACAGGATGGAGATAAAGTAATAAAGTCAAAAGAAGGCTTGGAGTGGACATAGTTAATAGCCTGCTGACCTTTGCACCAGATCTTCCTCAGACCCTTATCATGAGCTTGTCAATCTATAAAACCTATCTTTATGGAAGATGTCACATGTACTTTTCAAAGAGTTTTGATATAGCCGTGTCTTAGGCTTTATTGTGCACATAGATTGAATTAATTACCACCAGGAAAATTTTCATCAAATTGTGCCATGCTTAAATACATCAGCACCAGCTACTTAGTCATGATGAACTGGGCTACCTCCTTGCCTCCCATGGATCGTTACACTGCTGGCTGTGGTGGTCACAGAGACCCTACACTACATTACCAATAATGTTAGGAAGCAGCTGGAAATATGCTTACTGGGTCTAGAGATAAGAGGACTGTAGATGGACTTTTCTTTTTGGGCCACCAGCTCACACACACACACACACACACACACACACACACACACACACACAAAAGACGTGGAGTCTTATTATTAATTATGAAAGCTCGGCCTTAGCTTAGGCTTGTTTCTAACTAACTCATATCTTACATTAACCCATTTCTATTAATTTACTTTCTGTCTTGTGGCTTTATTACCTTATCTCCATCTTGTCCATCTTGCTTGCTCTGTGTCTCTGCCCTTCTTCCTAGTGTCCTCTCTGCCTGGAAATCCTGCCTAGTTATCAGCTGTTCAGCTTCTTATTAAACCAATCAGAGTGACACATCTTCACATTATACAAAAAGATTATTCCACAACATTTCCTCATTTTTGTCTAAATAAAAAGGAAAAGTTTTAACTCTTAACACATTAAAACTATAAGAACAATAAGAACAATTATCAGATATTTTCTAAATAGAAAGGAAAGGTATTAACTTTAACAAATGAAACTAGATACAATAAGAACAATTATCAAGTAAAAATTACATTCATAATGTCCAGTCCATTTGTATTTGGCAAATTCAGAGAAAATACTCCTTTGTCTGTCCTATCTTGATGAATCCGAAGTTTTGTAACTAATTTACTTTCTATCAAGACTAAGGAAAACTGTAACTATAACTCTCTAGTCTTCAACCCCATCAAAAACTGAGAAGGATATAATATTACCTGAGTAAATAGGAAGTGCAGAGCAAGCAACTTCCAAAACTAAGAGAAATGACAGAAACAGCTGGCTGCCTGGACAATCACCCAAGGTTCCTCTGCAATGTTGGAGCATTCATCTTCAGCCCACAGACCTAGACTATCTGACAGATTTGTCTGTGAAGCAGGAATTTTTGAAGGACTGTTCATCCCTGATTTGGCCAAGTTTGGCAGTTGCTTTCTTTTGTGCCTTACTTGTCCAATTTGGACAGAACACTGTCAGCAGTCAAGGCAAGGGCAGTTTCTTTGCCCAGTGACTAACTTTGCCACGAAGAAAGCAAACTCCATATGGAGGTTTTTTGATGCCCATCATCTTCTCTGAAGTAGATTGGTGCTGCCAGGAGCAGATGTGTCTCATTGTCATGAAAGGGTTTGTATTATTAAAACAGCTTAAATGCCATATTCTATATGTCTTTGAAGCATTTGAAGACCAGATATCTATTTAAAATACATCTCTGTTGATATACCTTGAAAACATGCCTAACATGACTCTTAAGTTTGGTTGTTATAGATGACTAACTACTGAGCTGTATTTCTTTAATATCCTAAGTAACTTTCAAAGTCTAAAACTTTACATAACTTTTTAAAATGAGCTGCATAGGTGCAATATCTTAAACAAGAGTAGATACATATATGTATACATATGTATATATATGTATAGCAAAACAATATAACAGTATAACAAAAATAACATTAAATTTGTATCAATGTACAAAAATTCATACCAATGTAAAATATTTGAGACTAGTGGTTGTTTAAAAGTAGACTCAACAATCTACCCTTTTATCCCATCATTTCTAATATAATTTATAATATATAAATATATATTTATTTTTATGTTATATTTTCTAATTTATAATATTTATATAGTATATATTTAGATCATATATTATATAACTATATTACATAATATATTCTATTTCTATTTATCCCATCATTTCTATATATAATTTATAGTAAAGAAATATATACAATATATAATATAATATAGAAATGATGGGATTAAAGGATGGATTGTTGAATCTACTTTTAAACAACCACTAGTCTCAAATATTTTACATTGCTATGGATTTTTGTGAGCTGGCAGCCCAAAGAAAAGCCCAACTACAGAGTACCTTTTTTTTTTTTTTTAACTTTTTGGAAGGAAAATACTGCTTATATGGACCAAGTAGTGGGGAACTTGTGCTATTCTTGGACAAACCTTCTTGGAAGAAGCAGACCCAACAGGCCAGAATGATTGCACATAAGCATACAAAGTGGCCCTGGTGGTTTGCCAAGGATGAGATTTAAGTCAAAATTTCAACTTAACCTTTTGAAAAAAAAATCATTTCATTTTATTTATGTGTGTGTGTGTGTGTGTGTGTGTGTGTGTGTGTGTGTGTGTGTGTGACTGCATGTATGTGCACATGTGTGAGGGTACCTGGCGAGACCAGAAGAAGGCACTGGATCCCCTGAAGCTGGAATTATATTCAAGTGTAGGCCTCCTGACATGGATTCTGGGAACCGAACTTTGGTCCTCTGCAAGAGCAGCAAGTGCTCTTAACCACTGAGCCATCTCTCTACGCAGCCTTTTCATTGGCTTTGCCTGTGGTACCTGACTGGTTTCCATTAAGCTCTCCCTACCTTGCTGTAGTTGGGATCTTAAACATTTCCTGCAGGCTATGTGTCCCTAGGGTAGCCTTGTTGAAAGATGGCTGGACCTTTAGGAGATGAGCCTTGCAGGAGAACCTTAGGTTATTGGGGGGGGGGTGCTCTCAGAGCCCCCCCCTCCTTCCTGCTTCTCTTTTGCTCCTTTGCTTCATGTAAATGTGCTTGCTGTGCCACACACCCATGCAATGAGGTACTTCTTTGCTACAGGCCCAAAACAGTAGGCCAACAATATGGACTGGATCCTGCAAACTATGAGCAAATCATCTCAGATGTTTTGCTACAGTGATGGGAAGCTATCTGTCACATCTCTCTATTCCCTAGACTTTGCAATCACATTTAGAATACCTTAGAAACTTTCTTTTTTATTGGGAGTCATTGCACCCGTTTGTCTAAGAACTTCATTTATCACCTAGTTCTCCTGTGTAATTGGAGCTTATTAGTTACTTTATGCCACCGTGACCAAATGCCTCTCTGAAGTAGCTTAAGAGAGGTTTATTTTCGCCGAGCAGTGGTGGTGCATGCCTTTAAGAGGCAGGCAGATCTCTGAGTTCAAGGGCACCCTGATTTGCAGAGTAAGTTCCAGGACAGCCAAGGCTAAATAGAGATACCTTGTCTTTAGAAACAGAGAGAGAGAGAGAGAGAGAGAGAGAGAGAGAGAGAGAGAGAGAGAGAGACAGAGAGAGAGACAGAGACAGAGACAGAGATAGAGACAGAGATATTTATTTTCATTCAGGAATCAGGAGAGAGAGAGAGAGAGAAAGAGAGAGAGACAGAGACAGAGAGAGACAGAGACAGAGAGAGAGACAGAGATATTTATTTTCATTCAGGAATCAGGGAATACAGTTGCTGTGGAATGATCATTTTGTATACTATGAAGATTTGTCAAATAAAAAGATGACTGGCCAGTAGCTAGACAGCAGAAAGTATAGGCAGGACAGCCAGACACAGAGGAGGCTGGGAAGAAGGAGGACAGAGTTGAGGAGCCTCAAGCAGACACAGGGAGAAGCAAGATGAGCATGCTGTGCTGAGAAAAGGTGCCAAGCCATGCGGCAGAGCATGATAAGAAATATGGGTTAATCTAAATGTAAGAGTTAGCTAGTAACAAGCCTGAGCTATTGCCAGAGCATTTATAAGTAATATTAAGACTCTGAGTGGTTATTTGAGAGCGGCTGTGGGCACAGGAAAATGCCACAAACAATCTATTGTGGCAGGAAGTCATGCTGTCAGGAGTGTGAGGTAGTGGGAAGCCATGCTGTCAGGAGTGTGAGCAGTGGGAAGCCCTGCTGTCAGGAGTGTGAGCAGTGGGAAGCCCTGCTGTCAGGAGTGTGAGCAGTGGGGAGCCATGCTGTCAGGAGTGTGAGCAGTGGGAAGCCATGCTGTCAGGAGTGTGAGGTAGTGGGAAGCCCTGCTGTCAGGAGTGTGAGCAGTGGGAAGCCCTGCTGTCAGGAGTGTGAGCAGTGGGAAGCCATGTATCAGGAGTGTGAGCAGTGGGGAGCCATGCTGTCAGGAGTGTGAGGTAGTGGGAAGCCATGTATCAGGAGTGTGAGCAGTGGGGAGCCATGCTGTCAGGAGTGTGAGCAGTGGGGAGCCATGCTGTCAGGAGTGTGAGCAGTGGGAAGCCCTGCTGTCAGGAGTGTGAGGTAGTGGGAAGCCCTGCTGTCAGGAGTGTGAGCAGTGGGAAGCCATGCTGTCAGGAGGGTGAGCAGTGGGAAGCCCTGCTATCAGGAGTGTGAGCAGTGGGAAGCCATGCTGTCAGGAGTGTGAGCAGTGGGGAGCCATGCTGTCAGGAGTGTGAGCAGTGGGAAGCCATGCTGTCAGGAGTGTGAGCAGTGGGAAGCCATGCTGTCAGGAGTGTGAGGTAGTGGGAAGCCCTGCTGTCAGGAGTGTGAGGTAGTGGGAAGCCCTGCTGTCAGGAGTGTGAGCAGTGGGAAGCCATGCTGTCAGGAGTGTGAGCAGTGGGGAGCCATGCTGTCAGGAGTGTGAGCAGTGGGAAGCCATGCTGTCAGGAGTGTGAGCAGTGGGGAGCCATGCTGTCAGGAGTGTGAGCAGTGGGAAGCCATGCTGTCAGGAGGGTGAGCAGTGGGAAGCCATGATGGCAGGAGGGTGAGCAGTGGGAAGCAGAAAGCCAGATGGAAATGAGATTGGGCTAGAGACCTCAGAGGAACTCTCCCAGGGACTCACCTCCACTATGACTCCTGCCTCAAGGTTTCCAAAACCTCCCCAGGCAGCACCACCAGGAGTCCATATGTTCAAGCATATGAGCCTGTGAGGGGACATTTCTCATGCAAATAATAACAGAGAACATGACATGTTTCCTGCTTTATCGTGGACACCGGCTCCTACTCTTCTCCACGTTACTCAAGAGGGCTAGTTCTCTCCCACTCCCTACCCCAACCCCCATACCCACCCCCACCAAAGTTGCTGTGGTGAAAAGCCACAGATCCCTTATGGGAAGTGACTTGGAAAAATCACTGTTGTGTACACTCTTGGCTTCACTGACTAGTTCTTCCAGAAAGATGCTTGGCTTTGCCTTAAAGCAATAGGTTCTGGGTCAGGGAACTGGCCTAGATCTGGGAGACTGGCCAGGAAGTGCCAGGTGCCACCTGGTCACCTGCTGATTCACTGAACTCCTAGGCACGCCATGGTCTAGAAGCTATAGCCCACAGATGACTCTGGTCATATAACTGCTTCTATCTACCGACCACACCCTCCAGCATCTCACAAAGGCTGCCTGCAGGTCGTATCTGCTTGGGTATGGTGGATCCTTCCCTTCCAGACAGTCGTGTAGAGCAATGGTTCTTAACCTTCCTAATGCTGTGACCCTTTAATGCAGTTCCTGATGTTGTGGTGAGCCCCAACCATAAAATTATTTTCATTATTTCTTCATAACTGTAATTTTGCTACTGTTATGAATCATAATGTAAATATCTATGTTTTCTGATGGTCTTAGGTGGACCCTGTGAAAAGATCATTCGACCCCAAGGGGGTCCAGACCCCACAGGTCGAGAACCTCTGTACTCGAGGCTCTTGTGATCCAGGTAGCAGAGTAGCAGGGTTGAGGGTCTTGGAAGTTGGATGGAAAGGGTGGTCTGTAACCTTCAGCTGCTTTGCCGTCAGAGATGGCCTTTTGTGTCTAGAACAACAGAGACCTGGTACCGCATCTGCCAGTGCTCTGCAGTTTTCTGCCTCTTTAATGAAAAGGCAAGTCGCAGCAATTGTCCTCAAACAAGGTGACCAACCCCACCACACAGGAACTAAAGCCACTATCCCTTTTCAGGGATCCAGCAACTGCACCAATACACCAGTTGCCTGCCATCTCCTGTTCACGAACATATCCATGAAGTGGCTTAGTTTTGTCTGGCAGACTGAATGCAGGGTCACTCAGTAGCGACCTCTTGAGTTTGTTAACGGCTTGATTACATCTACCTGTAAGCTCCGGCCCTTGGCTTCCATCAGTCTGTAAGCTGAAATAAACCCTTTCCTCCCCAAGTTGTTTTTTGGGTCACGGTGCTTATCGCAGTAACAGAAACCAGACTGGAACGGGTATTTCACCGTTTCTTGAGATGCTTCTGCCTTCTCCTTGGAGGTCTTTGAGCTCTTTTCAGCCAACAAGTTTAAAACTGTGTCTATGTCTCTGTCTGAGGTCTCCTTAGACTGGCTTTCATTCTGTCTTTTGTCTATATATGGTAACAGGTCCGTCTTCCAGACTGAATTGTCTTCAGTTCTTGCTCAAGATTTCTCTGAAATGTGTAGGGAGAATTCTTTTTGAAATGTATTTTTAATTTATTTTTTGAGAATTTCATACATTTATACAGTGTATTTTAACCATACCCACTCCCCTACCCTCTTCCAATTCCTCCCAGACCCCTCACCATATTCCCCCCAACCTTATGTCTTCCTTTTATCTTTTTAACAATTCACTGAGTCCAGGTAGTGCTCTCCCTATGCTCCTGGATATAGAGCCATCCACTGGAAGCCTAGGTAAC